CAGAGGGTTAAAGCCATTTTCTCAAAGTCTAGGTCTCTTGCCGAAATCACATGTATCTCCTCTTAGCAAAAGAACGTTCCTGCTAGGGAACTGTATCTACCACTGAGTTATACCCACCCTTAGCATGCACGAGGTCCTAGGGTCAATCCCCAGTACCTCCATTAAAAAAAAACAAAACGGTGTTCCTGCTAATGTAGCCAGAAAAAGGGAAACTGTCATGCACAAGAGGCATTTTTCTCTCAGTAGCCCTTGTCACTCTGTAGCAGGAAGCTCTGATCTCAGACATCTTCCCACCTAGAAAAGGAAAGAGAGACAGGTTACCTTCTTAGGGATCAGTACATTTTCATGGGTTCAGCAAACACGATAGTTCAAGCTCTGACACAGTGTGTTTCTGATGTTTATGGCTCTTTTCTTTGAAGGTATTTTCAGTGGCATCTATAAAAGGGAAAATGCCTTTCTGGGTAACTGCCTGATGTAGGCTTCCAGGCATTTCTTCTGAGCATTTGGGGCATCACAATTCACTATAGTGGGGTTAAGCTTGCAGGGGAAGTGTTGCCAACAGCAGTATCTTCTTGCCTTGACACGCATCCAAATAATGCATGTGGTCCTCCTGCTGCCCAGGATGGCATGTGGCATACCTCCCTCACCAGAAATAAAACAGGGTGGGTGTGGGTGAGAGGAGGAGAGTTGCTCAAACGCTTTGAAGTGTAAGTTCTTATTTTTGACTTATGGAAGTGAATTTTTACTCTTTTTCTAAAATACCGCAAGCCATTTTCCCAGTAGTGGAGTATCTTCCTAGCATTCGGAATTGCTCAGAGCTTGCCAGAACTGTCCCTGTGACGTTGGATAGCTCTGCTTCCTCATCCACTGCCGTGCCTTCGTGAGGTCTCTTATTTCTGATGAACTACCACTCTAATGGTCTCCATTTCCAAGGCTGCAGTAGCTTTCAGACGCTTTTGCCCAAAGTCTAAGCTGAAGTCTTAGCTGTAAAAGATATCCCGGTCACCATTTTTTAGCGTGTCCATCCCATCAGCAGTTTTATCAGCCGGTCATTAGGACTGATTCCCCCTAGTGACTGAAGAGCCCTTTTCGATACCAGTAACCCACCCACAACAAACTTGTTCCACAGCAGGTCCGTGGTGTTGACTCCCATCCTAGTGCCTGTGAAACTGTCAAACAAGATGCCTGTTCAAAGCCATGTTGGCCATAAGCCAGTGACTTATTTCTACCTTTCAAGGTCTCCCTCGTCTACCACTTTCTTCTAGAGCTTTTATTGCTTCTGAAGGACAAAAGTGAAAGGAGTGTCCTCGTGGGACTGCCTGTTTGGGAGATGTAAAAAAACAGAAAACCTCTCAACGAGCCCCCGGAAGCTGTCCCACCAGCAGGCTGTTTTCAGTGACCGAGGATGAAAACTCGTCACTGCCAGGTGCACCCGGGCTCCTTGGCTAGCCCTTCCCTGTAGCCCCCGGGCACGCTCAGCACGAGCAGTGTCTGCTCTGGAGGCTCTGCTCTCCTTTAGTGCTGATTCCTTTCTCTCTGGCAAAACCTCTTGTGCGATACAACCTCAGCTCACCTTCGCCTGAGCTCTGACTTGGAACTCAGAACTGAGCAGGAGAGCCAGGAGGCTGAGAGGTGCGGGTCCAGGGCTCCCTTCCAAATGAGTCTCGTCATCTCTGGTTAAATTTTTTGCCTGGGTTCTTCCCAAGACATAATCTTTCCAGGTTGTTGGCTCTGTGGATTGCCTCCATTTTCTGGTGAGGAACTCTGTGTTCAGTGGATCACTCGCCACTACCTTCAGGGTTGCTGCTTTTGGAAGTCGTCCCCGTGATGTCGTTGGAAATTTGAAGGACAGTATGTGGGATGGAAGAAACTCCTCTTGAGTGCCATAAGCGCCCATTAAACAATTACACAATGTTCTGTTTTACAAGATGTAAGAATTATAAGATCCTTCTGAGTCTTTGATAGCTTGAGATCAGGCAGTTTCTACAAGCCTTTTAATCTCTTCTCATTACTTATCTTTAATCTGGCCATTAATACTTAGTGGTTGTAGCCCATTTTGTGAGCTGTTTTGCCAGTGTGTTCAGTAACACTCTCTGTAACCAAGAGGGCAGACAGAATCAGGATGTCCTCATAGAGCCAAGAGACAGCTGAGATGACGTGCCAGGGGCTCCCGGGAAGCCAGAAACCTGTGACATCGCTGGGCCCCTGGGTTTGTAGGCACCAGGATGTCTTATCTTGTCAGCAGGCAATGCGCACGTGTGTTCTTGGTGGCCAAGCCAAGGGGCCAGGGGGAGTTCCTCTAAGTTTATCTGGTTAACTTTTCTTTGCATTTTATAGAGAAAATATCAGTAGTGGGACATGTACATTTGAGAGCGATCTGACTCCCATTTCCCAGTCAGGTCATCAGTGACAGAGCCCTGGGGAGTCTGCAGCCTTTGCTGTCTCTTTGGTAGAGTGTGCTTTGGAACTTCAGCTGATTATTTTTCATTAAAAAAAATTGTTTCTATCTTATAGAATACCTAGCACAGTTCCACATGGCTATTTGGGAGCGCTATAATGAAATCTTATTTTCCCCCGTCTCCTAAAAAATTATTTAAAAAATAATAATAAGGGAGTCTTTAAGGCAGGCCTGAATGGAAATGAATTTTCGGTTCCACACTGCCTTGTGAAATGTGTCCAAGAAGCACGGAAGTCTGTACTAAGTGTGTGAACTGCTGAGCCACTGGACGTGGACGCTAACTGAATCTAATTTTTTTCGTGTTTTCTTTGTTCTTTCTGCTTCCACAAAAGATGGGCCAATCAAGCTTTTCTGTAGGTTGCTCCTCTCTGAGTGTGTTGAGTGTTCGCCATGTGTTCCTGTGGGTCACACTGTGCTTTGACATCTTCCACTCCATCGCCCATCCAGCCATTGCATTTGCTTTGTGTCTGCGGGGAGGCCTGGCGCGGGCTGACTGCCCCTCCAGGGTTGCCCACACGTTTTAGTTGAAACCATAGAAGAGATGATGGCCCTTTAAGCAGACATCCTGATTTTAGGAGCCATGTGCCTCTCTTCCTAAGAAAAATAGAGTTTTTTCTTTTAATTTTTGTAGTGGGATCTAAGGCCTCAACTCTAGAAGGATTTTAGGTTAATCTGAGGGGAAATGCAAAGCTCCCTCCCAGGACAAGGGGGAGCTGCGTTTGCAGTCCCCTCCCACTGGTGTCCCACTCTCTCCATGGAACTCCCCCCCCTCCAAATCATGGAGAGCAACGTCCTGTGGCCTCAACCCTGGGAACACCGTGTGTATTGTGGTCACCTGTAGACCCCTCCTCCGCTAACCCACCCCCCAGCTCCCCAGTCAGAGTCAGGACAGCCTTTCTGAAGGGAGCTGTCCTGCCTGTGTTCTGATCTCAGGCTTATTCCTCATCTTGCTAAAGAGTTAGAAGTAGGGTGGCTGCGGGCGGAATGACATGTAGTGAGTGTCCTGAGGCCTGCGTTGTCTGTGGACGGACGATGCAATGAGATGGCACTGACCTGTCGCCTCCGATAACAAAAAGAGGGTGCACCCCCCTCCCCCCCAAACTTCTCTCTCAACTTGGCTGAAGTGCCAGACTAGAAGAAGGTCTGTTCCTTTGTCCCACGGAGGACGTGGGCAGCAGAGACAAAATGGAGCGCAGCACTGGGTAGTGGGGACTAAGGTCATGTTTGGTGGTGAAAGGTCTGGTTTGGCAAAAGCTGTGTCTCTGTGTTCCTGCATGCTTTTGTGTGGATTTGTCAGACGACATTCCTGCTGTTTACGTGTCCTTCGTAACGCTGGAGGAACGAGAGGCGCCGTCTGTCTCTGTCTTTTCAGTAAGGCGGGCAGCCGGGTCAAAGCCCAGTTGGGTGTTGCGTTTATTGTGTCCTGAACCAAAGTTCTCCCCTGTTTTCCTAGTGGTGTGGTGGGCATCCCAGGACAGGCTGAAGAAGGTGACTATTTACAGCTAATTGGTTTGTGAAGACTTCGCTATGGTGTGTGATTAATTGATGGAACTTTCAGTGGATCACCTTTTTTAGCTCATATCCCCAAAGTAAGAGGAATTGGATCTCCCCCACCCTCGTCCCCTCAAAGGTGGAGCCCTTCCTCTTTAAGAGGTTTTCAGTATTTTTAATGGGTTCCTTAATACCTTTTAGTTGCACATAGCTGACTCCAGGGGAGAAGTGGCTCTTCAGAGAGAGGGGGCAGGGACTGTGGCCCGTCTCAGAACAGCACTTCAGATCCAGATTCTAAGTACCCCTCGTGTCTTCTTAATCATTTTCTACTTTGGGCCATTTGTGGCCCTTAGTCTGTTTGTAATAACTCAGCAGTCAGCATAATCCCCATCATCGAAACCATCCACTGGAATATATTGCTCTGGCTGAATGTCAGCCTTCTCAATGTTACATTCCTGGTAGTCTGGGCAGACACTATCTGCAGTCTTTGATCGTCTTAAGATTTGTTTGGAAATGTGTGTTCTAGAACCAAGAATTTAGGATGTCAAACTTGGACTCAGTTCACCAATGTCAAACTAAGTCACACAGAGTATGTGCCCTCTCTGCTGTCTAATAACATGAATAATAATCTTCGCTCCCCAACGCTTTGTCCTAAACATTGTCCTGACACTGTGACTGCATCAGCAATCTGGTTGCCTGCATTAAAAAAAAAAAAGCAAAAACCCTGGCTTTTAGGCCTGTGTATTTAACACAATGTGGTGTCAGTCAACCAAATGATGACTCAGGTTGCTCTGGGTAAAGCCTTGCGTGATGTTTTCTGTATTTAAAAACACTTGGGCGCCTCTTCCTCCAGTGTTAAAGTGTCATCTGCAAGGATTGTTGTCTGGTTGTTCTTGAGGGTCATGGGATTCTTGGTGGAATCATAATTTCATTATCTCTGACCTCCGTAGCTGTGAAAATTAAGAAGCCAATCAAGACGAAATTCCGAATGCCGGTTTTTAACTGGGTTGCCCTGAAGCCAAATCAGATCAACGGCACAGTCTTCAACGAAATTGATGACGAGCGAATTCTGGAGGTATCTTTCCCATTGGTCAGAAACAGGAGGCTCTCTCTGCAGCAAAGCCAAAATTGATGCTCTGTTAATCTGGAAGTTTCAGAATAAAAGCTAGTGTTTTAAGTGCCTTGATGTAAAGAAGAAGAGAATAAAATTGGATGCTATTTTGTAAGGTGGTTCTAAAACGATGTTTAAAAAGTTTTACTAAAGTGGAATAGTTTTGAACATCTTCACTGTATGTCATGAAATACTTATCTGATGCAATCCCTGTCCTTTATTTATTAAAGGGCATAAAAACCCTTTACTGAACTGTAAGTGAAAAAGGAGTCAATAATCACACTCACTAGCAGGTTTCATGGGTAGTGTCAGTCCCTGGTGGCCATCCCTACAAGCCAGTTACTGAAAGGCAGTTGAAGTGGCTGGTTGGTTGGAACCAGTTGTCTACTGTAGACATTGTTGTCTGTATACATGGTGTAAGTTACACAACTCTAACACAAATAAGGAAATAGAGCAAGGTACTCAGTAGAAAAAATAACTTTTCTGATGCTTAAGAAACTCTAAATGGTGGCTTCCTGACTTCATTCTTAAGTATAATCTAATTTGCCTATTTCATTCCTCTCTGCCCCAGGATTTAAATGTAGATGAATTTGAGGAAATATTTAAGACAAAAGCCCAAGGTCCTGCCATTGATCTTTCTTCAAGCAAACAGAAGATCACACAGAAGGGATCAAACAAAGTGACGTTACTTGAAGCCAACAGGGCCAAAAATCTTGCCATAACTTTAAGGAAAGCCGGAAAGACCGCCGATGAGATATGTAAAGCTATTCATGTGTAAGTTTGGGTCATTCTAGAAAATTATATCCTGGTAAATTTAGGATACAAATGGAAATTAAATTATGAATTTATAGATAACAAATATTTCAATTGTGAGGCAAGATCTAAGATAAAAGACAGAGAAGTTCTCAATATCCACACAAAAGAGATGCCCTTTATTATGTACATGCAACCTCAGACGTGAATAAAATGCTAACACTGAAGGGGTGGGCCAGAAAGGACCCTCGGGGGTGCTGTGTTAGAATGAGTGGTTAATGGTTTTAGAGGAAAAACAGCTAGATTGTGGCATCATTTATTATCTTGGTCTGCACTCTTCTATATGCCCACAGCAATGCTTACATAAAAGGAAAGTTGAGCAAAGTACTGCAGATACTAAGAAAAGGGTGAAAGTGTCAGTTTTCTGTGGAGAATGTGAATTTTACCCAGATTTGTGGAGTACAGATTTGGTGGCATTTGTGGAATGGTACAATTCACTGCCAGATGCAAATATGATACAGACGCGTATTTTAATTCATAACAATAGGAACGTGATTCCTATTGCTCTTTAGCACTTTCAGGACATTTTAAACCAAGTTGAGTTTTTTTTTTTATCCTTGAGCTGTAAAGAAGGCTTTAGTTTTATTTACTCTCCTGTCAGAAGCATCTTTCCTCTCTTCTTATGTTCATCATGGTGACTTTCAAATATGATAAGGATGTCATTAGATGTTTTAGGAACTAACTCATCATTAATTGGTATTTCATAGAGTTTGATCAGAGACTCTTGGAGGAGTAAATGACCCTGAGAAACCATTTGTTCCAATTTCATGTCCTCGGCCAGGATCATGATCTAATAGTTCAGTGCATTCCATAGTTTGTTCAGATTTCTGATATTGCAACCTGATATGCATTCTGATTTTTAATCTTTATACATCTTGTTTGTCATGATGATCAAATGTAATTCTATTTTGCTGTACAAAGATTTTCCAGAGAATAAGATAGAGATTGTAGCAAATACCTCTTTAGTTCAAACTGAGCATACATCCACAAGAACCTGGCATTCCTTCAAGGGGTGTATGCATTTAAGCCAAAATATCCATAATGTATAGGCATTTGGATGTATTTTTTCTAAAGAAGAAAAAATATCCCAGGCTTATTGTTTTAACTGAAATATTTTACAGAGATCACCAGATAGTCTGTAATTGTGTATATAATATTTTATCTCCTTAATTAGCAATACTTCACATACCTAAAAAGTCTGAACCACTTCACCACAAGATGCTTCAGCCTTCCTTCTGCTTCTTCCTTCTACCTTTTACTGTTGATTTCTAGAGGCTTAGAGCTATCCTGATAGCCTAAAACCTGAGCCTGGCAGTTGTGATTAAAGTCCAGGTTTCCAGGAAGGACCACTGAAGGTGCTTGACACACAGTCAGGAGCCAGCCCCAAGGGGCATCTTCACATCTGTAGACATCGTTTAGCTGTGGACATCAACTCATCAACTTAGTGGTTCATGAGCTGGACCCAGATGGAGGTGTGGTTGAAAGGGGAGGAGATTTTCTCTCTAACACTGACATGTCCATCTCTGTCTTCAGGTTCGACTTGAAGACGTTGCCTGTGGACTTCGTGGAATGTTTGATGAGGTTCTTGCCAACGGAGAACGAGGTGAAGGTGCTTCGGCTCTATGAGCGGGAAAGGAAGCCCCTGGAACACCTGTCGGATGAAGACCGGTTCATGATGCAGTTCAGTAAAATCGAGAGGCTCATGCAGAAGATGACCATCATGGCCTTCATTGGGAACTTTGCTGAAAGCATTCAGATGCTGACTCCTGTGAGTGGACCAACTCTGGCACAGGAGCGGGTCCAAAGTGATAGAATTGTTGTTGTGGTTGCTGTTTTAAGTCTCTCCCAGAATTGCAGTTAATGTCATGGGCTCTATAGACTCCTTCCCAGGACTTTCAAGGTTGCATTTTTATTTTCACCACCATTTTCACGTTGTGTATGCCAACTAAATTTGAAAATGATAAATTTCCATAGTTCACGTTACTCTTCTCCCTAGAGGATGCCATTTTCTGTGTCTACAGATGTCCTCTGGCTTTCAAAGGACACTTCAATATACGGGACAAGGAAAATCAATTTCTCAAATTTGGTACCCTTGGCTCCCCCTTAAGGTACCAGTCCTCTGGCTGGGTTGGCAAGACTGAAAATGTGACTTCGTTTCTAAAAATGAACCCATGTCTCGAGTGAACAGGTTTAATTGACTTTCATTGGGAGCGTTCAGTTTGCCATGGGAGTCTTCTCCCTTAGGAGTGTCTGGCAGTACACTGTGGTCCTGTAGAAGTAGTAGCCAGCCATTTCTTGTGTCTTCATGTTACTCTGGTAGAGACTTACAAATATCATAAATGGTTCTTTCCCAGTTCTATTTCTAAGTAATTATTTGTTAATTACTGATGATAGTACCATGCCTTTCCAAAACATGTTCTGAGAACTGCTGCGTGGTGGTTATATTTCTTTGCTATTTTGTTTTGTTTTCATTCTTGACTAGCTCCATTGATTTAAAAATACGAATTGTGTTACATGATTAGAGTTGGTGGGCAGGGCATTGAGTTCTGCTACAAGACGCTGTTGACTCCTAACTTTTGAGTCTCGCTGCTTACAGATTTTACGATAAGCTAGTTCTGATAATACTTCTTATTTCAAGTACTTTTAAAGAAGAGCTTGCATGTAATGCCAAAGTTGCCTAAGACCTAACAGAACAACTTGAATTTGTTATGTTTGAAAAAAACAGAATCTCAGCTATGAGGCTTTAAGGTCTAAATGCAGGCAGGCCTGTTTTCTTCTGTGTTAATTTTTAGTTGTCAATTAGAGTTTCCCATTTTTAACATGTCTTTTTTTCCTCCTCCTTCTTTCCTTTGACTGGAATCTAGCAACTGCACTCAATTATAGCAGCATCTGTCTCTATAAAGTCGTCCCAAAAACTCAAGAAAATTCTGGAGGCAAGTGAAGTTTTCCTCATATACGTGAGTGGAAGAGCTGGCTTGCCAGCTGTGCTCCTCGGCCTGGGATGTGTGCCGATGGGCTTTTTCTCTGTTTCTTTGCAGATCATCTTGGCCCTTGGGAACTACATGAATAGCAGTAAACGAGGAGCAGTTTATGGATTTAAACTTCAGAGTTTAGATCTGGTGAGTGGACTAAATGAAAGACCAGAGCTCTATGTGGGACAAAACAGCTGGCAAAGGTGACGTCCCAGAGCAGAGAGAGTCTGCTCTTGGAAGTGAGGGGGGGATATTTTGATGAAGATTCCCTGCTAGTGGGAGGATCAGTCGGTGCAAATTTTCTGAAACACCATTTGGCACCAAGCACTTAGAGCCTTAAAAATACTCATACCTTTCGACCCGGTATTTCCATTTCTAGGAATCTTTCCTCAGGAGTCTGAATTGTGGCTGCTCTATTTTATTTCTAATTGCAAATAATTAGCAACAATGCAAAGATTCGACATTTGGGGAAATGGTCATATATGCTGTAATAATAGTTAACATGGTGAACTGTTCTTCAGCTGTTAGGATATCTGTGAAGAATTTTTGAATAGATAAATTTGTGTTTAGGAAAGAAAGCATAAATTTATGTACAGTTTGATTTTTAAGTAAGATATGTAAGAAAAACTGAATGGAAGTAGGTTAAGATATTAACAGAGGTTGAGTGGAACTAGGTATTATTTTCAAGCTGCTGCTTTATACTTTTCTGTATTTTCCAAAACTTTTATTTTTTTTCCTGGATGGAGAAAGGGTGCTCTGTTTTTCAGAGTCCCCTGACGTAGATGAACAGGACTAGAGAGAGTACTCCATGGAGCCCTGTCCCCGGGCGGTACCGCGCTAACGCGGCTCCCACAGGAGCAGTGGGGCAGTGGGGGAATCCCCAGCCTGGGGGAAGACATGGTAATTTGCTACGGAGTGTCTAGTTAGTCACACGTCCGGCCCCCAGAAGGTTGTGGTCCATCAAGCACATCTGCTTCAGGCTGGGGAGTAAGAATGGGGCCAAGAAGAGTGTGAAGAGTACGGTGTAGGAGCCCCACTGGATGGGGAGCACCCGTGCCCACCCACTGGCCCCACCCTCGCTTCTGCTCTGCCTTCACTTGGGAGAGCACTGAGACTGGGGTCTTCTGCTTGGAAGCTAGGGGAGGTGTTGTTGCAGATGTGGAGCGGAGGAGTCCATGTGAGTAGAGATGTGTGAACAGTCCAAGGTGCTCAGGGTCATCCCTAAAATTGAGCATGTCCCTTGGTCAGGAAGTCCTCTTGTTACTTAATAATCAATGGGCTGGTTCACCCAAGAACAAATCCAGTGTTGACTCTCTTGTGGGAATGTTTCTGGGGCACCTGTGCTCAGGTATTCCTTCTGTGTGGGAGAGCAGCATGTGGCGGGGACCTCTCCCATCATATTTTACTCTAACCCTTGTCCCCTTTGGTTTTCAGCTCTTAGATACCAAGTCAACAGACCGAAAGCAAACACTGTTGCACTATATCTCCAATGTGGTCAAAGAAAAATATCACCAGGTGTCCCTGTTTTATAATGAGCTTCATTATGTGGAGAAAGCTGCTGCAGGTACTTGATTTCAGGTGTTAATATTACTCTCGGGTGGGAATGCCTTTAGTCGTGGAGGAACCATTCCCTGCTTAAACAACACTCTTCAGAACCCCTCAGTAAAGGCAAGGCTAGGACATCAGAGGCTCTGACTGCAAACGCATCAGCTGTAGTGTTGCCCGCTCCTGAAAGCAATAGCAGACACGGATGTGAAGGTGATGGCAATGTCCTCTTTGTAAAGATCCAGGTCTTTGGGCCTCGTGCGCCTTCCCTCTTCCATCCTTCGCCCTTTTTATTCTGTTGCTGTCATTTGAAATAAGAGAATGAGAATATGAGACTCACCCCCCAGCAAATACTTGAATTAAGTTCTGTGCTGTCACAACTGGCTCAGGTGTGAAAGTTCTAAACATTTCGTGTTTAGCCTGAGCACAGGTCCAGTTATCAGTGCCTCTTGGTTGTTGCTTTGCTGTGACAGTTATGCCTTTCCTTATTAAGTCATCATTGATTCTGAGATAGCTGGGCTGTCCTCATGTTACAGATGAGAAAACTGACATTTTTATAGGTTAAATGTCTTGCCAAGGTCACATGGGTAGAAAATGATAGAAGCGGGAGTCAAACCCAGGTCATCTTCACATACGGTGTATTGTCTAGTGTACCACATCCTTTCAAAAGAATATTAGGCTGGAAAAAGGAACAAGATGCAGAGTGACCCCAGGGTTGGTTACATGCCAGGATTCTCAAATTCTGATTTTGAACCGTGAGCAGCCTAAGTGTTCATTATAAATACATATTCCTAAGACCCACTCCAGACTTACTGAATTGAATCTTTGAGGGCAAGACTTTCTCCAGCTTCCTCAGAGCCCATGGCTGTGGCTCCTGTATTCTTACTAAAGAGCACTCCATACAACCCTCTCATACAAGATTTAATACATTTTATTCTAACAATATGCATGTCCACTGGCACCTGCACACTTATGGGTATAATCAAGTTTTATTTGTCTTTCTAATTTCCTTAGCCCCTGGCAAATTGATGGTTGGGAACAAATGAATGAGAGAATGAACAGATGAATGAGTGAGTGAGATGATGCCCTGTTACTGGGATAGATGCTGTTGAAGCCCCAGAGGAGAGTGAGAGGCAGGTGGAACTGACCTTCTGACCAGGAAGGACTGTGCAGTGCCGGGTGTGACAGACCTACCGCCGGCTCAGGGCTCACTGAGGCAGCTGACAGGGTTTCTCCTCTGGTGGGGTGATTTTCCTCCTTTCAAGTTTCCCTTTGTCAAAATTAGAGGTTCTTTAGCATCACAATTCTAAGTAAGAAAAAAAGTTTAAAAATTTCCTGTAGCAGTTTTTTGGCCCAAATGAGATTCCCCCAAAGTATCATTTCAAAAAAAAAAACAAAAAAAACAGTGGTAGGGGGAGGGTGTGGCTCAGCGGTAGAGCACATGCTTAGCAAGCACAAGGTCCTGGGTTCAATCCCGAGTACCTCCATAAATATAAACATTTAAATAAATGAGCCTATTTATCCCCCCCCCCAAAAAAAAACAAAAAGAAAAAAGAAAAAAACATTAAAAAAAACAGTAGGGGAGAATGGGGAGATGGAGGTGCCCTCTGGCTGGGTTGAATCCTGTGTTCTCTCTCTGGGGCCCAGGTGAGCTGACACAGATTCCTTATCCCTTCACTCATTGATTCACTCACTCCTTGGTTTATCCAGTGAATCTTTTTGAGTTCCTGCTGTGTACCTGGCACTGTCCTGAGCATTGAGGAGTCAAAGATGAAAGACGATAGTGTGAATGCAGGGAGGGAAAACATGCCACGTTCTGTAATTCACCCATGTGCAGGGCTGAGGCAGGCAGTGGGGAACCAGAGATGGGGCCCACGTCACTTGCAGGAGTGAACCTGCTCTGGGACACTGGCCACACTGCAGGTGGAAAGGTTCACGCTAATAAACCGTTCTGAAGCCCTGAAGGGTTGTTTAGCAAAAAGAAGCTGTTCAAGGTTGCTTTGGGTCCTGGTGGGCGATACAACTACAGTTCATTAGGTAAAGTGCTGCCCCCTGCTGGAGAGCCACAGAACTGCAGGAGAATTCAAAATGGTAGAGAGAGGATAATCTCTTGGGCCTGTCACAGTAAAGGAAGTTCTGAGCCTAGAGACCAACTAATAGGTCATCATCTCCTGTAAGAGAAATGGAATAGTTGTGTACAAGCACAGGACTTGGAGTCCACAGTTGTTACCCGAACTTCAGTGCCACCTCCTACCTGTGTGACCCAGGACAGGCCACGGAACCTCTTTGTGCTGCTTTCCTTCCTTGGCAACATGGGCTGATGGTGCATATGAATTAGTGCATATTAATGATTTAATGCAGTGCTTGATGGTGAGCACTTGGTAAATTATTGCTGTGAAAGGATCTCTGCACCGAAGGCCAGAGACTAGATCTCAGGCCCTTACGTAACCCTCGGAATCCACTGTGAGCTTGGCTTACCGGCCAGACTCACTGGGGCTTTGACTTTCCTAGTCGAAGTCATGGGAACATTACTTTCTCTACTTCAGTCTCCCTTGAGAATGTTTTACTGGACGTCAAGGAGCTGCAGAGGGGCATGGACTTGACCAAAAGGGAGTACACCATGCACGACCACAATACGCTGCTGAAGGAGTTCATCCTCAGCAACGAGGGGAAACTCAAGAAGTTGCAGGACGACGCCAAGATCGCACAGGTGAGGGTCTGCGCCCCTGCCACCCATGGAGGAGAGGGGGTTGGACCCCTTAAAGCCACCTGGGGCGCTGGCCCTGGCTTTGGGAGAAAGTTGCCCTCTGTCCGCTGAGGATAGATTTCTTAGGTAGCTGATGTTTCTAAGGGGGTGGGGATCTTTTGGAATGTTGTACCTGGAGATGCCCCCTTCCTGCCTTTTTTTTTTTTTTTTTAAACCAGTCACACAAATCATCAGCATTCATTTCCTGGGTCCTAGGTGTTCACTTTTTCCTGGGTTCTAGGTCCTAGGTACAAAGGGCAAAGAGTTAATCAGATAGTTTGGAGCCGGAAATCCCTTCCTTAAAAATGGATCAGTGAGGCTCCACAAGGGAACCTCAGAGTTGCATAGATGGTCAAAGAGTTTAATTTATAATAGCTTTCCCCTCAAAAAAGAAAAGTGAATTGTCAGTGTCCTCCCTCTCTGCTGAGAAAAGGTTTAAAGTTTTTAAAAAGTTTAAAAGTGCTTTTTAAAAAAGGGATAAGAAGGTCTTGAGACAGAAGGTCGGGATTGGAGAACTGGGGACAGACCTGGGGCATGGTCCCTGCCCGGGCTGCTCACCCAGGGGGCAGGACCCAGCCCCTGAGTCCCGGTGCCCACTGAATAAATAATTCGTTGTCCTCTTCTAATTTGGGGTCTTTACCCTCTTCTCTAGAGGCGCCCCCGACACCTCCCATTCCCCTCCTAGTCTTCGTCCATGTGGGTCCTGTATTCACTTCAGCCAACGTGTGTCAGGCCTGTGCTTGGCAAAGCAGTGTTCTAAGTGTGCTGGATTTCCATAGGCCTTGACCTCGACATCTCATACTACACGGGGGGTCAAGTTTATTCACTTTGAAAAGCAGCCAAAATCATCATAGAAGGGAAGGGAGAGCATTGTGGGAACTCAGAAAGCAGACGTGGTGGAGTGGCTGTCATGTGAGGCTGGCTGTCCTGTGTCACGGGAGGGTTCAGGTGGAGACTTGAGCATCCCTGGTGTGAAGCTAGTGCTGAAGCAGTGAGCTGGGATTGGGCGTCTGAGTGCCTTGTGTAAGATGCCCTCTGACCTCGCTGGCCTTAAGGAGTCCAGCCATGGCTTTAAGAGGCTCCTGAAAGGAGTCGTTCCTCACTTGTGTTGGGGGGGGTGTGTAGAAGTGGCAGGAGGTCCCAGAGATGAATTCCTGGGCAGCACTCTTGCCTTTGACTACTGGGTTTCAGAGGAAGCCGAGGCTGTAGAGTCATGGGAAGGAGAGGGAGGCGGAGGCAGAGGCAGAGGCGGAGGCGAGAGGGCTGTGGGAGCCACTGCAGCTCTTTTCCCGGAGCGTCAAGTTCAGATTCCAGAACTCATGACATTCAAGAGAAATGTGCTTCTTCACAGGACGCCTTCGATGATGTGGTGAAGTACTTTGGAGAAAACCCCAAGACAACGCCACCCTCCGTCTTCTTTCCTGTCTTTGTCCGGTTTGTGAAAGCCTATAAGGTAACCAGGAGCCTGGGGCCTTTCAAGCCTTCCTGGGCTTCATTCCTCACGGGGGGTCCTCCCCGCGCTGTGTCTGAGTCTCGGCGGCCCTGCAGAGGCCTCTCCTGTGCCTTTGGGCAGCAGAGCGGGGCAGTCAGGACGAGACAGCATCTCTGGCCCCACAGAGGCTGAGCGCCCGCGATGCTCCCGTCTCCACCCTGCCAGCCGAGGGCTCGGCCCGGAAACAAAAGCTCTTGGCTGCCCCCTGGGGCAATTGAGATGCTCCAGGACCGTTGCTGCCCTGTTGACCATTCACTCTCGCAGGCAGGTTGAAGGACTGAAGAACCTGGCCTGCGGTGGAGTTGTTTGACAGATGGAGGATTAAAGGAGTAAGCCCCGGCCCGTGGCAGGGGTGCCGTAGCTGAGGTCAGGGAGAGCCTGCTTGTGTTAGTCCTGTCCAGGCCCGTGGGCTTCTGGACCAATGATTTCTCCAGTGTGGACTGAAAGAGGACTCTAGGAGGGACAGTTGCTCCCTGTTTCTTTGTCTGGATCAGTAGTGGCCCTTCCTTTAAACGGGAGGCCCTCTTTGACATAATCCAGGACCATGGTCTTAAAAAAACAAGTGACCCAGGAAAAAGCCTGTGTCAGAAGAATTTGTCCCTTGAGGAAGAACGCAGAGGACGTGAGGGGATTTCAGTGCACTCAGGAGACATTTCGATTTGTATTCTCCAGGCTTGCCTACATACAACCTTGGTGATGTGGGTGGAGCAAGGCAGAGAGTGATGGCAGAGGTGGGTGGATGTGGCAGGGGTACAGACATTTTTGAGAAACATCTGATTGGAACCAGTGGGTCCTTTCACCACCACGAGAGGCTGATGGGTGGAGAACCATCCTTGGGCCTTTGACTGAAACTGAAAAGCCATCTTCTCTCAGTGTGGCTTAGTGTAGTGGTGACATCATAGGCAGATAGCAGAAGGAGAGCATCTGGGCTGAGGATGAACACAAATACAGCACCGGGTCCCTGTGCAGGATACTGGGGGCTGTGAGCAATGAGGAGGCCACTGGTCTCCAAAGTGTGGTCTCGGGCTCCTGGGATGCTGATGTACGTGTGCTGCAGGGAGGCTCCAGGTGGCTCTTGTTAGGGGTTGGGACCGTGTTTCTTCACATACAAAGTTGTAAGTCTAAGATCTAAAGAGAAAATGTGTGCTATTTTTAAATTGTATAATACCAGTTGGGAAGTGGCTCTGGTTGGCCTCAAAGTCTGGCATTTGAGCAGGGACGTGCGTGGAGTAGAGGAGAAAGAGAAGCTGTCCTTGGTGACTTGTGGGTGTCACAGGCCAGAGCCTGTCAGTGTGCTTCCTCCATGTTATCATGTCTTCCTGGGGTCCCCTTCACTGGCTCTGTGAGGCGCTTGCCAGGCAGTGATGTTCCAGGGTGTTCTACTTGCCCTCACATGGTCCATCGTGACTAACTGCCCAGCCTGACACCAACATAGGGGCTTGGTGGGCAGATGTTAGGGTTTTAGGATGTCACCTCTCCTTTTCCTTTCCTATATTTGAACCAAAATGAAACTTGAGACAAAAGCAGCAGAGATCAAAGTGTAAACTTCATTGTGGATGAGAGCTGGATTGAGAGACATGGTGTGTCTATGGGAGCTGATATTTCAGCCCTCAATTAGCTGACTTAGCAATTCACAGCTGGACTATTAGAAGTTGCTTCTGGGGGGCTGGCTTCCAAAGAGAGTGCCCAGGAGGGCTGAGCTAAAAATCCAAGTCCTGTTGGATTTCTTGTTCCTAATATATCAAGCTTGTCACTCTGTCTCCCTTGGGAAGGAGTGAGCTGTGGGGAGAGAACCCAAGAGCATCACTCGGTGAGGCCCCTGAGGAAACCAGGGGCAAGAGAATGGAGGATTTCCCCTAACAGTGGGCAAAAGGAAAGGAATCTGAGACCCTCCTTTCAGGGATGCTGTAGAGAGGGAGACAGATTCCAGAAGAAAAACAATCTCACATGAAAATCACTGAGCAGAGCTGCCAGGAGCAGAGGTCCCCACCCCGTCTGTGGGACTGAGGCTGAGAAGCAGCGTTCGTGGGGAGAGGAGTACCAGGAAAGGACTCCTGGAAGAGGTGAATTTCAACGAGTAGATTTTGAAGAGTTGTGCTATAGACAGACAGCAAAACCTCAGAGTCACCTGCAGCATAAAGTGTATCTTCTAAACCCGCCCTTTGCTCTCATTGCTGTCTCGCCTAGCATTCTCTAAGAGTGGCTTGTAGAAGTGTTGACTGCTGGCATTTCTATTGACACAGTCTTTTGCTTCTTTTGATCTATCCAGCAAGCTGAGGAGGAAAACGAGCTGAGGAAGAAGCAGGAACAAGCACTAATGGAGAAACTTCTGGAGCAGGAAGCCCTGCTGGAGCAGCAGGATCCAAAGGTGAGGTGTGCCAGGCCCCTGGGTCGGCCACAGGGGAGGCCCTGACGGCTGCTCCGAGGCAAGCTGGCCAGAGGGGCAGAAAGCCGGATTTGCACGGGATGCTTACCACGTCCCTCTAGGGCTTGGACACTTGGCACATGGGCTGTGTTCATTCATTACTTTGTTCAGCAACCAGGGAGATGAGGCTAAGAGCACGTTTGTATAGAATCTCCAAGTTTATAGAGATCGGGAACTTGAATCTCCATTGGGTGTAACCCGATGACTGGACTGCGTAGTGTCCAGGGACGGGGAGGCTTCATGGGCCCCACTGGTGCTGCCCTTGATGGCTCGAGGGCCGGGAGGGAGCGCTCCGTGGAGGGAAACAGCACGGGTGAAGACCATGAAGGCTGTCAGGCCAGTCTCCTTCATCGTGACCACCTGCACCAGCGTGAGGAGTCGCTGGTTGTTACCAGCTGCCTCTTGCTGGCGTGGGATGCAGCCTTCTCACTGCTGCCGGCTGGAGCTTTGTGTGTCCTCAGTGACAAGGTTCTTCCTCTCAGAAGCTTTCTGAGTTGTCCTCTGTTCATGCTGGTGCTGCGTGTGTTTTGGACTGAGGCTGCTTATTGGGAACAAGACCCTTCGACCCAGGTGGGATTTTCTCAAACCTCCAGTGGGTGCTGGTCCCACTTATCTCTGTCATTCTTCTTTCTTCTCAGTCTCCTTCCCACAAATCCAAGAGGCAGCAGCAAGAATTAATTGCAGAATTAAGAAGGCGACAAGTTAAAGATAATAGACACGTATACGAAGGAAAAGATGGTGCCATTGAAGATATTATCACAGGTAAAAGCTGCTTCCTCATCGAGGCCCGTGGAGATCCCACTGGCCTCACCCTTACTGGGCCACTTCCAGATTTTGCTACTGCTTTTGTCCAGGGTTTACACGTACTTCGGTTGACTTTATTCAGATCCAGAATTATACAGAGAAACTCTCTGCCAATATTTGAGGTACATTTATAGTGCCGAATACTGCCTGTCCCAGAACCCCAGCATGCTCTCTCTGAAACATCTCTGTATTTCTCAGCATCATTGGAACTCTGAGATTCCACTAAGGGCTCCCTCTCCTAATGGTGTTCCGTTGTCTTAGGTTTGTCACCACACTCCACTGCTCCCTCATGGCCGCTCCTATCCACCTGCCACTAGTAATACTACGGCCAGGACCTGACTGTACTAACCACAGTCAACACGTGTTTTACCAACATGCTCTTTAAAAACCATTTTACTCATTCAAATTAACCGAAGACCATAGGAAATCAGGAGCTGGGGCTTACATGCAAATGGACCAACAGTCCAGAAGCCCAGGGTTGGGGAATGGTCATTCTCTCAGCCAGGAATGGTGCCTAACCCAGCTTGGTTCTTGTCTGAGTTGTAGCCTAACGCTTTCTGCTCAAACCAGTTCTCCACAGTTGCTACATTTCCTCTTAAAGATGAGGACAATAATTTGGGGGCAGTGGCTACTAGTGACTTTTCTTTCATGTTTGTTGCATAGGAATACTGTTTAGCAGCTTCCAAGATACTTAAAACTTTATTGTAGGAAATTTTATGTAGAAATATAGAGAACAGTATGAGTTCCTGTGTACCCTTCACCTGTCAACAGTTTTCAACTAATGGCCAATCTTGTTACATATCTGCTTCTACCTATACCCTGGTCCCCAACCTCTGGGATTATTTTGAAGCATATCCAGTTTCATATGGAAATATTTCCATATGTATCTTCTAAAGATAAGGACTCTTTAATAAAGCAAAGAAACACACCCACAGTACCATTATCACACATCTCCCTAGCCAGTCATTATTCACACTTCCCCGTCCTCATTTTTTAAAAAAAATATGACTCTTAGACTTTTTGACTTCTCATTTCTTGTTAATAGCTTAGTCAGCATTGCAAATACAGATCCCAAATTGCCCAAATCAGTTTTTTCCATCACCTCAGACCCAAGAAAATAAAATAGGTGAATAACTCACTAAAAAGGGTGTCAGTAGAGAATTACCCAGAGTCAGCCAGCAGGATGGGTAAGTGGCCCGGTGAAAGCGCCGGTCTCTACATAGGGAGCACACGTGCTCTGCCTGCTTGTGCCCGCCGGTGTCTGTGTTCACCCTGCAGCGACTTGCAGATGCTCCCAGATAAAGCTTCCTTGTTTAGCATGTCTCCTTGCCTCCCCCACATGGAGGGAGAAGCTCTGCTCTCAGCAAGACCAGGAACAGATCTCCTTGGGTAAGCACCTCTCAGCCTCACTGTCATAGCAGGAATGACTTGGAGGAAGAGAAGCATCCAGCCTTGGCACACTAATAACAGAGTTCCTTTTTCCTCAGTCTGTTCTCTGTCTTAGTGACACCTGGCTTGTGAAATGTATACTTCCTATTTGTCTGACCTGATCCACCATAGGAGGTGAATGAATATTTGCTCATGAAGCAGGTTTTTTTCTCCTTGGAGTATTTTCCATTTTCTACCCATGGCCTTGCCCCAGATTGAGTAAAGACTGAGTAACTCTTTTAGGCTTTGTGAACTCAACTTGGATATATATTGCCTTCCCCTTTGCCCTGCTCGCCCCACCCCCACCCCAGGTATGATTAACAAAGCACTAACCGTGTACTAATGCAGTAGATCTTGGCTTCTTACTCTCTCCTGTTTGTCTTGTTTGGCTGTCATTTTCGATGCAGTGCTGAAGACTGTGCCCTTTACCGCTCGCACCGCCAAGCGTGGCTCTCGATTTTTCTGCGAACCTGTTCTCACTGAGGAATACCATTACTAAACTATTACTCTTTCTCACCTGATGCTCTTAAAAGGTTGCTATAGATTTTTTGACTTCTAATGACCCTCTGTATGTGTGTCAGGGCCACTCCATATGCTAGAGCTAGCATGGAATTGCCATCTCCACCATGTTGTATTTTATGTTGTCTTCATGCTGCATGGTTTTGCATTTCATTCATTACTGCTTACTCACTAGACTTTCAATACATCTATGAATCCACATGGCTGTGATGGTGTGTGCAAGTTGAACTAATAGAATTGCTTGCAGATGTTTTCAGAAAATGAAAACTTCTTTGAGAATCAAGATTGGGACCAACTAGGTTGCTTGTAAGATTTTTGGGCTGATATCTTTGAACACAAGATGATAGTCAGTAATAACAATAATTACTATACCTAACGTGTATTGAGCACTTACTGTGTTCAAGCCGATTTACAGATACTAAACTGACCTTTTTGTGCTCAGCAGACTTTGACAGTAAAATGAGCGGCTATACAAGCACTCAGGAATACAGCGTGCTCTAAAGTTGCAAAACAGTTTGCAAAAGGAGCAGTGAACTGCACACAGCTGTAAATTGGGTCTTCCTTAGCTGCATTATACTCACCTCTTCCTTCTGAGTATCATGCCCAGATTTCGGCTATCTGCAATTCCACATTGGAGCAAGGTTGTGAGGCAGGAGATGAAAACAAAGGCTTAGGAGCTCCCACTGTCTTATCTCATTCATGCTTTGTCACTGGTGGCTCTGTTCCATGTAAAACCCAGGGTATTTCTCCTGTGATGAGATCACATCTGGATCTGCTTCTTTGGTCAGGATGGTGGCCCCAGAAATACTAATAGCAAACACATTCTATCGGAAAATGCCGTTGTTCTTAGAATTAAAAAAAAAAGATCAAATTTTCCCAAGAAGTTAACTGCCTGGGCTAGATCAGGAACAGACTTCTCTGCAGTGCCCAGG